GTTAGGTGGTGTGAACATGTTGTGTCTACATGAGCACACAGATAGGGAATAATGCTGTGCTAACTGAGGTGACTAACTCAGAGTAAGTTAGGTGACTAACTGAGAGTCCACACTAATCTGGACACATTAAGGGCTTGATTTTATTTGAACTGACGAAGCAAAGGGATCTTCAGTCAGATAGAGTCAGAACCGAAAATTCAGCTTGCTTCATTTGCTAGCTCAAATTATAAATTCTGAAAAACTAGTCTTTTACTTAACTTTTGGCTATTTACATGAATTTCTTGTAAGTTGGAGATTTATTTTTTATTTTTTTTAAAGATTTATTTATTTATTATATATGAATACACTGTAGCTGTCTTCAGACACACCAGAAGAGGGCATCAGATCTCATTACAGATGGTTGTGAGCCACCATGTGGTTGCTGGGACTTGAACTCAGGACCTCTGGAAGTGCAGTCAGTGTTCCTAACCACTGAGCCATCTCTCCAGCCCGTAAGTTGGAGATTTAAAAATGCTTTGATATACATGGATATGATGGTGTGTGCCTATAGTCCTGTCTGCTTGGGATGCTGAGGACTGAAAGGTGGAGGCCATCCTGGGCAACATAGGCAGACTGTCTCAACATAAACATTGAGTTGCAAGCTGAGCCTTGTCAAACAATTGAGCTAACTTTCCAGCTCTCAGTAAGTATTTTTAAAAAGGGAGTGCTGTGAACAAGGCATTGAGTTTAACTACAGTGCTACAGAAAAAGTGGTCACGCTTTGATATATTTTTTAAAAGTATTGTTCCTATTTTATATGTATGGGTGTTCTATGTCCGTGCACCAGGCTCATGTTTGGTTCACTTGGAAGGCAAAGAAGGGCACTGGATCACTTGACACTGGAGTTGGCTATGAGCCATCATATGGATATTGGTAATCAAACCCAGGTCCTCTGGGAGAGCAGCACTGAGCCACCTCTCTAGCCCCTTAATGTAGTTAGACTCAGCAAAACTGTCTCAGTTTCTGTCACTATTGCTGTGATGAAACACCATGACCAAAAGCTAGTTGGGGAGGAAAGGGTTAATTCACTCACAGTTCCATACAGCAGTTTATCATCAAAAGCACTGAGGGCAGGAACTGATGCAGAGGCGTGGAGGGTGCTGCTGACTACCTTGCTCACCAGGGCTTGCCCAGTCTGCTTTCTTATGGATCCCAGAACCACCAGCCCAGAGATGGGCTCACCCATCACTTACTAAATAAAAAAATGTTCCACAGGCTTGCCTATAGACCAATCTTATGGAGACATTTTCTCAGTTGCGCCTCCCTGCTCTCAGAAGACTAGCCTTTGTCGAATTGACATAAAATTAGCCAGCACAATATTCATTTTAATAAATGAATAAAATCAATCTTTGAAGAGCTAGTTAGGTATGGTGGCTTGGTCTGTAATCTCAACACTTGGGAGGCTGAGACGGAAGGATTGCCTGTGAGTTCAGACCAGCCTGGGCTACTACTGAATGGAACACTTGTCTCAGACCAGAGACAGAGATGGAACTTAACGGCAAAAGCACTTTCCTTGCAATCCTAAGTACCTGAATGAGGTCCCCAGAACCCACAAAATGGGCCAGTAAGATGGCTTAGTGGATAAAGATGCTTGCTACTGAGCTACTTGAGTTCAACCCCAGAACCCGAGTTGTGGAAGAAGAAAACTGGCTTGCGAATTGTCCTCTGACCTCTATATGTGCACCACGGTATATATGCTCCCCCCGCCCCGGGCTTTAAGAATCTAAAACAACAACAAGACCAACCCCATGAGAAAAAGAAAGCTGTTTTGTAATTCTAGCACCTGAGAAACTTGATCTCTGGGGCTCCCTGGCCAGCCTGCAGCCTGACGGGTGAGCTGCATACCAGTGAACAACTAAACAATGAGCTAAAATGGTGAACAGTTAAACAAAGGAATGACACCTAAGGAGCCACCGAGGTTAACCTCTGGTTTCCACATGTGTACACATGTGCACCTGCACACACTCTCAGAACATACACTTATACAAAAGAACCTTTAAAAACTTGCTGTTTTACAGCTGAAGAGGGCTTTTGTTTTGTTTCTCGGTGGTTGGTTTTGTTCAGACAGTGTCACTGTGGAGCTCTGACTGGCCTGGAACTCACTTTGTAGATCAGAGTAGCCTTGAATTCACAGAGCTCTACTTGGCTCTGTACCCAGAGTGCTGCTATTACAGATGTGTACCATCCTGCCCAAGTAAGCAGTTGTTTAAAAATACTTTTAATTTGTTTTGTGTGGGTGTCAGGGCCATGTGGATGCATGGTATAGGTGGAGATCAAAGAACAACTCCTGGAAGTCAGTTCTTTCCTCCGTGTGGATCCTGAGATCAAACTCAGGTCATTAAGCTTTGCATCAGGAGCCTTTACCCCGGAGCCATCTTGCTGACCAAGCAGTTAAGGTCTTGGTGTTTTGTGGAAGCTGGGGTCCCATCCTGGCTGTACATATGTTAGGCAAGTGCTTCACTGTTGAGTTGTATGTCCGGTTCCTAGGCTAGTACTCTTATAGCTTAAATATGCCGGATTCTGATGGAACGTGAACTGAAGGTTTTTGTTTGTTTGTTTGTTTTTTGGTTTGTTAGTTATTATTATTTGTTTGTTTGTTTTTCAAGACAGGGTTTCTCTGTGTAGCCCTGGCTGTCCTGGAACTCACTCTGTAGACCAGGCTGGCCTCGAACTCAGAAATCCGCCTGCCTCTGCCTCCCAAGTGCTGGGATTAAAGGCGTGTGCCACCACTGCCCGGCGATTCCACTCTTTTTAGTTCATGTGTATGGGTGTTTTGCTGCTGTCTGTGCACCACATACATGCAGTGCCCGAGGAGAACAGAAGAGGGGGTCAGATGCCCAGTACTGGACTTGTGACCTGTCATGTGCATGCTGGGAACTAACCTTGGTTCCTGGGGAAGAGCAGCCAGTGCTTTTGACCACTGAACAATCTCTCAACCCCCTTTTTAGATTCCAAAATCTGATTTTTCCTCTTCATTCAGAAGCACAAATGGAGTTTTAATTTTTTAATTTAATACTTTATTTCTTTCTAATGATTTTTTCTAATTACAGAAATTATTTTATACAGCCATCTTGTGAGACCATTGCACAAATCAAGTGATGATCATACAGAGAGTGGTGTTGAATTCCCGACCTGGTATGTATGATTCTGTGGTAAAACAGTTGTGGTCTCTGGTAATTATAACACACATGGAAGAATAAAAACTGACATGATGTCAGGGTGGCCAACTATGGTAGGAAAGTAAATTGGGACTAGTAAATTTTGGATCTCTGAGTTCGAGGCCAGCCTGGTCTACAGAGCGAGTTCCAGGACAGCCAGGGCTATACAGAGAAACCCTGTCTCAACAAACAAACAAACAAACAAACAAACAAACAATCAGTTATACCTACCACAAAGAAAAATTCTAAAATTATACACTTTCAATATAACCTTTCAAATACTATGTTTCAATTGTCTTGAAAGATTATCATCTGAAAACTGAATATGGTATTGTTTAAGACATTTCATCTAATATATTTACTAGTCTTTTTATTTTTATTTTTTTTTAGATTTTTTTTTTTTAAGGTTTTTTGAGACAGAGTTTCTCTGTGTAGCCCTGGCTGTCCTGGAACTCACTCTGTAGACCAGGCTGGCCTCGAACTCAGAAATCCGCCTGCCTCTGACTCCCAAGTGCTGGGATTAAAGGAATGTGCCACCACTGCCCAGCCGGTATAACTGATTCTTAAATTGCTTTTCTACTTCATACCATTGTAAGTCAATACTGATATCCACCTGAATCATAGACGTGTAAGTGGGAGTAATCCAAGAAGCATTAGCCCGTTGTTGTGTTGCTCGCCTACCATGGTTTCTGCTCGCAGTGTTAGTGTGGTGAACAGTTTGTTTGGATCCTCACCTTGGAAATCAGATGGTTCTTGAAAGGAAGTTTGCTTATGTTAAACATAACTCGAGACAGACACTCTGTGGTGATGAGAACATCTGCTTCAGTGTCTTTCTCAAACCTTGAAATTTCTAGTTACCTTATTTTCAAGACTTTAGAAACAAAACAATAAGTGTTCATCTGAATCTTTGCTTGTTTCTTAAAATGAAGATGGAAAACTTACCTAACTTTAATTTGCCTTTTCTGTTACTTTGTACATTTTAATTCCGTAATTAAAAGAAAACCTTGAATTCAAATATTTAAGGTTTTATTTTATTTTTTGTATATGGGCATTTGCCTGCATGAATATATGTGTGTACCATGTACATATCTGGTGCCATGGATCCCCTGAAACTGAGGTTACAGACTATCCTAGTTAGGGTTTCCATTGCTGTGATCAGACACCATGACCAAGGCAACTCGTGTAAAGACAACATTTAGTCAGGGCTGGCTTACATGTTCAGAGGTTCAGTCCATTATCATCATGCAGGAAGCATGGCAGCGTCTAGGCAGGCATGGTGCTGGAGAAGAAGCAGAGAGTTCTGCATCTCATTCCAAAGGCAAAAAGAAGACTGGCAGGCTGGAGAGATGGCTCAGTGGTTAAGAGCACTATCTGCTCTTCCAGAGGTCCTGAGTTCAGTTCCCAGCAACCACATGATGGCTCACAACCATCTGTAATGGGATTTGATGCCCTCTTCTAGTGTGTGTCCGAAGACAGCTACAGTATACTCGTATAAATAATAAATAAATAATATTAAAAAAAAAAAGGAAGGCTGGCTTCCAGGCAGCTAAGAGAAGGGTCTCAAATCCTACCCCACAGTGACACACTTCCTCCAACAAAGCCACACCTCCTAATAGTGCCATTCCTTGGACCAACCATTCAAACCACCACACAGACAGTTGTGAGCTGCCACGTGGGCACTGGGAACTGAACCCTAGCCCTCTAGAGGAACAGCTAGTATTCTTATCCACTGAGCCATTTCTCCAGGCCAAGTCCAAATTTTTTTTTCTTTCTTTTTTCCTTTTTTTTTTTTAGAGTTTTTTTTTATTTAGGTGTTTTGCCTACATGTACGTCTTTGTACCATGTGCTTGCAATGCCAGAAGGCCAGAAGAAGGTGTTGGATCCCCTGGGACTGCAGCTAGAGAGGGCTGTTAATGGCTACGTAGGGGCTGGGAATCAAACACCATGCCCCTGGAAGATCTGCAGGTCTCTCAACCACTAAGCCATCTCTCCAGTCATCCTGTGTCCCACCCCTGACCCCTAGACTCCTATCTTCCCTCCCTCCCACTTTTTTTTAAAAAGAGAAGGTCTCTCTATGTAGCCTTGGATGGCCTGAAACTTACCATGTAGACCAGGATGACTTCTAACTCAGAGTCCACTGCCTGTCTCTTAGGAGTACTTTAAATCTGTAACAAATGTCTAGGCATGCTGGTACACACCTTTAATCCCAGCACAGGAGGCAAAGGCAAGTGGATCACCAAGGTGGAGGCCAGCCTGGTCTACATTTGGAGAGCTGTGTGGCTAAGGCTATAGAGTGAGACTGTGGGGCAAAAAAAGCAACTTTTTAATTTCATGTTTTTGCCTGAAAATTTAGGGAAAAATGGAAACCCAGTGGCAGAGAATTTCAGGGTGGAAGAATTCAGTTTACCGGATACTATCAATGAAGGACAAGTTCAAGTGAGAACTCTTTTTCTCTCTGTGGATCCTTACATGGTAAGAAGCAGGGTGTTAGAAGTTGTTGAAAATAATTCTGTTTTTGTATTTTAATGTTGTTGCATCAGAATTTTATTGTATGACTAATACATCTGTGAATTATAAATTACCTTTATTTTTATTCACCAGTGCTATTAAAGAATATTGTAAGCCAGAAATGGCATACATACCTTTGGTCCCAGTATGTATACCAGCCTGGTGTACATAGTTCCAGGACAGCCAAGGCCATGTAGTGAGACCCTTTTTCAACAAACAAACAAACAAACAAACAGCAAAGACAACAAAAAAACTGTAGAAAAATGTGGTTCGTGAAGTTCTTCCAAATGACCAGGTTACTTCTTAGTAGTAAGTAAAGCTTTAAATTAAGTAGTAAAATAATATGAAAAATTCTCTCGTTGGGCAGTGAGATAGCTCAGTGAGTAAAGGGATTTAGGGCAGTGAGATAGCTCAGTGAGTAAAGGCACTTGTGCCAACCCTGATCCCCAGAACCCACATGTGGAAGGAGAGAGCCAGCTCCTGAGAGTTAACCTCTGACCTCCATGTCTGTACTGTGACACTGTCATAAGCCTTGGTTGGTTCCATAATTTGGCAATCATGATAAGCTATAAACATTTGTGTATAAATTTTATATAGTCTGCTTTCATTTCTCTTGATACGTACCTAGAGATAAAGACATTTCCTTATATTATTGTAAGTAGTCTTGAGAGCCCACAAGGCTGCTGCACTTGTCCCTTGGAAATGCAAGTCCTTGAGACCAAAGGCCCTGCAGCTCTGAGGTCTAAGGACAGAAGAAAGGTGTCCACTCGAGAGGAGGGCAACGCCATCCATATCCTAGGTGGTTTTTTTTGTTTTTTGTTTTTTCATCCAGCCCCTGACCATTTGACTAGATGTTGCCTTATGGGCAGATCTAACCCACTGAGCCCACCTCTTTATATGCAGATTCCTCAGGAAATGCCCTCTTCACAGACATACTCAGAAACAACACTTTATTCATCAAGTAAGCATCTCTCTGATGTAGTCAGAAAGACATATAGAATTAAGTCTTTCTCTCCAGCACCCCCATTGTCCTGGGGCGTTTGATGTTGGGCAAGCGTTTTACCATTGAACTACACCCCCACTGACTCCCCAGGTGAATCATCACAGGGTTTAACTGCAGGCTTCTGCAGGTGGATATACAATGGTGTCGGTACCACTTATTGAAATAACTGTACTTTGCTCATCGTACCATTGTTGAAAATCAGCTGCCCATGAGCGGGCATGCGGCTCACACCTGCATCCCAGGCCTCCCAGCACTGGGAAAGCTGAGTGAGGCAGGAAGGCCACAGCAAGTCTGAGGCTAGCCTGAGTTATAGTGAGCCCTTCTCTCAATAGTAAAACTTTTATTATATTATATTATGCGTGTGTGTACATGTGCCACAGCACACGTATGGAGGCCAGAGGAAACCTTGCAGGAAGGAGTCTATTACCCTCTCTATCATTTGGGTCCTGCTTATCAGTCTTGGACTGCCAGGGTTGGCAGCAAGCACCTTTACCTGCCAGGCCATCTCACTGGACTTATAAAATAAACTGGAGGGGTTTCCTTCTGTCTTTGAATTTGAAAACAGTTTGTATCAATTATAACCACTGAGCCATCTCTCTAGCCCCACTTTATTTTTAAATCAGTGTGTGTGTGTGCGTGTGCATGTATGCATGTGTGTGTGTGTGTGCAGGCATGGCATGTGCTATGACATACATGTGGAGGTCAGAGGAGAGTTCTATGGAGTCAGTTCTCTCTGTCCACCTTCATGTGGGCTCAGGGATCAGACTCAGGTTGTCAGGCTTTATTGTCTGAGTCACCTCTGCACTCCACTTTATTTTTGAGACTGGGTCCCTCACTGAGCCTGGAGATTCTGATCCAGCTGAACTGGCTGGCGAGCAGGCTCCAGGCTCAGCTCAGCTCCAGACCCCAGACCCCAGCTCCACCACTGCTGTTTTACACATACACACACACACACACACACATTTTTAAAACTTTCAAAAGGAAAAGCTGGCCTTTAGATGGTTTCCTTAATGAATTCCACTCATTTTTCAATCTTTTAAAATTATATATATGAGTATGTGTTTGTGTGGGTATTTTCATGTGCTCATGCATGACTGCTATGGCTCACCTGTGAGGCCAGAGGACAACTTGTTTATTTTTTATTTTTATTTTTTGGTTATTTTCGAGACAGGGTTTTTCTGTGTAGCCCTGGCTGTCCTGGAACTCACTCTGTAGACCAGGCTGGCCTTGAACTCAGAAATCCGTCTGCCTCTGCCTTCCAAGTGCTGGGATTAAAGGCGTGCGCCACCACCAACCGACAGGACAACTTTTGAGAGTTGGTTCTTTTTTCCTTCCATCATGTGGGTTCTGGGGATTGAACTCAGGCTTGATGACAAGTGCTTTTACCTGCTGAAACATTTCAATGACCCTATTCTGTGTCTTTTTTATACCAGAACCATATTGTTTTGATTACCACAATCTAATTTAGAATAGATCTAAATTTCTTTTCAGTTGTATTTCTTTACTGGTAAAGGCCAGGTACATGGTTTCCCCAATTTTTGCAGGAAAAAGAAAAATGGCTGAGAGATGGCTTAGTTGTTAAGAGCCCTTGCTGTTCTTCCAGAAGACCAGGGTTCAATTCCCAGCACCTACATGGTATTTTACAACTGTCTGTAACTACAGTTTCAGGGGACCTGACACCCTCACACAGATGCAAGCAAAACAACAATACATGTGAAATAAAGATAATTAATACAAGAAAAGGGTAGAGCAAGAGAGACAGACTTAGGTTGGTAAATGAACCTTGCCTTAGTGAGAGCTGTCTTCCCTCCAGCGCTGTAAGATGAACGAAGACACTGGCACTGACTATCTGGCACCGTGGCAGCTGGCGCAGGTGGTTGATGGAGGAGGAGTTGGAGTTATAGAGGAGAGCAAGCACCAGAAGTTGGCTAAAGGCGATTTTGTGACTTCCTTTTACTGGCCCTGGCAAACTAAGGCAATTCTAGACGGGAATGGCCTTGAAAAGGTGATGTATGATATAAGGCTTTTGATGTTTTTCTTTCTTATTTCTGCATTTTTATTATTTAGTTAGAAAAGGAATGACATTTTCTTTTAGATGATGTGGAATAATAATGCCAAATATAAAAATATAATGTGAATAATAAATATAATAATGCCAAATGTGGAAAGATTTTGTCTTTTTTTACAGTTGGCTGTCAGACGTCATCAAAGAACATTATATCTCACATTGAATGTATGCTATAAAGCTGAGCTATAAGCATAAAGATATTTAATACGGGGGCTGGAGAGATGGCTCAGCTGTTAAGAGCTCTTACTGTTCTTCCAGAGGTCCAGAGTTCAGTTCCCAGCAACCACATGGTGGCTCACAACCATCTGTAATGAGATCTGATGCCCTCTTCTGGTGCATTTGAAGATAGTTACGATGCACTCACATATATAAATTAAATAGTATTAAAAATATTTAATACTAAGAACTAGAAATCCCCCATATAATTATATGTTCTAAAATTTCCTGAGAAATAGCTAAATATATGAGGAATGTGTTTACTTGATGATTGAAATTCATCTCACGTCAAAAAGCCAGATTTCAGTCATTGAGCCGTGTAAAATGACCAGGACTTGTTGTGTCCTATAAAGACTGGCAACTTCATGTAATTCGACCTAAATGATCTATCAATAGAAACTATGCTTTATTTCTTTATACTCAAGGTTTTCTTTTTTTTTTTTTTTGAGTTTTTGTTGTTGTTTGAAATAGGATCCCTCTACATAGCCCTGGCTGTCCTGGAACTCACTAGATAGACCAGGCTGCCCTTGAACTCACAGAGATCTGCCTGTCTCCGCCTCCCCAGTGCTAGGATCAAAGATGTAGGCCACTTCCACTTGTACCTTTGAAATACAATGTATTTTTAATAATTACACATTCTTAAATAGTTTGTGAGAGCTGCTAATGCGTAAATATTATCAGTTTTGTTTTTCAAATTTAACAAGATGGGCTGAGTAGCTATGAAGGAAGCACTCCTGGGAGACATTGAGAAAGAACTACTGCAGAGCTGGGTGTGGTGGTACACATCTCTAATCCTAGTACTTGAGAGGCAGAAGCAGATGGATCTTCATAAATCCAGGCCAGTCCAGTCTGCACTAGTGAGATCTAGGCCAGCCAAGGCTGCATAGTAACGACCTGTCTTAAAAACAAAAAGGAACTATTGTAATGGTTCTAACAACCAAAATCTTACAGGAAGGGCACCTGCAGGAATGTTTACTAGTCTTAAAATGACTTTCCTCATTTGCCTTCAACACTTGCCTCAAGGCCAGAGTTGTAGTCCAGAGGCACAGCGTTTCCCTAGTTCTGGGTGAGAGCCTGTGTTTACTCACCAGCACTGTAGAAAGCAAAATGAAGTGATAAAACCCTCGCCTTTTGTTACCCTCTGAATGTCATCATGGTCCTCATCTTCAATGTCATCATGTCCTCATCTTCAATGTCATCATGGTCCTCATCTTTATTATATTTGTTGGGTTTCGATTATTTGAGACAGTTTCTCTGTGTAACCGGGCTATTCTAGAACTCACTCTGTAGAGCAAGCTGGCCTTGATCTACCTGCCTCTGCCTCTCTAGTGCTGAGATTAAAGGTATGTTCCACCACACCCAGCCTAAAATATTTATTTTAAAAGAACTTTTTGTATATGGATGTTTGGCTGCATGTATGTCTATACCACTTGTATGCTTGATACTGGAGGAGGCCACAAGAGGGTGTCAGATCCCCTGGAACTAGAGTTACAGACGGTTGTGAGTGGATACTGAGAATCAAATCCTAGTCCTCTAGAAAAGCAGACAGCACTTTTAATTGTTGAGCCATCTCTCCAGTTCCCCATGGTCCACTACCTATTTGAGACAAGGTTTCATGAAGTCTAGGCTGGCCTTGAACTCGCTGTGTAGCAGAGGATGACCGTGAACTTCTGATCTTCCTGTCTTGGCCTCCTGTGTGGGGTTACATGTGTATATAACTGTTTCTTTTTTATGTGGTATTAGGGACTGGGTCCAGGGCTTTATATGCATGCTCGGCAAGCATTCTACCAACCAAGCCTCATCACCAGCTCTCAGCTTTACATTCTTAATTACAGACTTGTATCTAGAAATACATGTGACTGACTATAAATTCCCATGGGGTGGTTCCTGTGAGCCCCTACCTCCCATGAGATGGTGCTGAGGAGCTCAGTCTCAGATCATCATAGCTGCTGTGAGGTGGACCAGCACGGCCACGGCATCCATGCCCTGCAGACAGTATGCTATCCTTTTGTATGGCTCTTACATTGCTTCTGCTCCCTCTCCTTTCCTGTTCTCACCTTTACAGTGGGTGATGCTGACGTCTCAGTTGTGACCAGCCATGAGGCTATGCAGTTACTGCTGCCTACTGCAAAGACTGACCAAAACTGACAGCAACATAATTTATGGGCAGAGACATTATTTAGAAGGCAGTCTGACAAGCACATCTTGTCTACTTAGTAAGCCCTTCCCATTAGGGCTTTGACCTCCCTGGCCACAGGCTTCTGACCAGGTTTATAGTTCCAAATGTAAATTCCTTCTTTCAGAACTGGACCTCACATCCACTCAGAAAGTGTTTGGCTACCTGTGACACACTTACTACTACTGCACCACCGGGCACATTTTGTGTAGATTGGTATTGTAGCAAATAGTACTGATGACTTTTCGTCCCCCAGCACTTTGCTTAGCACTTTGCTAAGTCCTCATAGGGAGAGGGAGCTTCTAGCTCAGTCAGAGATCCGTTGGTATCTCTGTGGCTGCCACTTGAGCAGGTGTTAGGATCTTACCATCTAGTTCTGGTGAGCAACCAACATCCACGGCAGTTGCCTTTATTGTTTTGGGGCCTCTGTTTACAACAACTTGAGGGGACGTAGCCCACCCCTGGCTGGGGTTTTGGTTTGTTAATGTATGGGTTCTCAGAGCAGATATATGACCTTTTTCCTGAACCCCGATCAAGGAAGTCAAGCCAGGCATACCTATAGCTCCAAGAAAATATGAAAGGTGTCCATCCACGAGAGTTACTTACATGGTATCTCTGCTCAAATGAGTTGGAATTTTAGACAGAAGTTTAGTTTGAGATCGCAGAGATTTAAAAACCTCATGACTTTGCCTTGTATTTTCCTAGTATGCATTTTTTTCTCTGTTGTATATACATGGTAATTCACAAAAAATAGTTTATGTAAGAATTGCTAAAGTTGGTTTTGTTAGTGTGAAGAGAATGCTTATTGCTTTTTCCTTTTTTTCTTTTTGTGTGTGTGTATATGTATATATGTGTAATACACACACACACACACTAAAAAACACCACACAGACTGGGTACCTTAACCAACAGGGACTCACTTCCTATTCTAAAGGTTAAAAACTCAAGATTGAGGTTTGAGGTTCTGGAACATTCAGTTTCTAGCAAGGCCTCTTTCAGCTTGCAGGAAAACACCCTCTTGTGTTACCAAGTACCCTTCTCAGGCAGTGAGGGGTGCTGCATCTGTTCCTTCTTCTAATGGCATGCTTGTATTAGGTTCCCGACTTTATGACCTTATTTAACCTCAAATACCACCTACAGGTCTTGATCAGCATACTTAGAGGATATGGACATTTAACATGAGGTAGCTGGGAACACTATTCAGTCTGTAACTTTCTGACTTCATGGCATAAGACTATAATTTCAGTATTGTTTAAAATCTATGTCTTTTATTTTAGGTAGACCCACAACTCGTGGATGGACACCTTTCATATTTTCTTGGAGCTATAGGTATGCCTGGCTTGACTTCCTTGATCGGGGTACAGGAAAAAGGTCATATATCTGCTGGATCTAATCAGACAATGGTTGTCAGTGGAGCAGCAGGTGCCTGTGGATCTTTGGCTGGACAGGTAAAGTTTCCAAAAATTACTTGACTTTCCTAAAACAGAAGGCATAATACATGTATGTAGTTTAAAACATAAAAGTAAGGGCTGGTGACATAGCTCAGCTGGCAGAGTGCTTGCTAGCATGCATGAAGCTCTGGGTTGATCCTCAGCTCCAGACAAAGTGCTGTGGTGATGCACCCTATAGTCTCATCACGTAGGAAATGGAGGAGAAGAGCAGAAGCTCAGTGTTATCCTCTGCTACTTACTGAGTTCAAGCCCAGCTTGGACTACATAAAACTCTTTTATAAGAAGTATTTAATGGACTCTAGGGGTTAGCCATTTGTAAGTTGCTCACACTCCAACAAATAACCTCACACCCACGCATATGCAACCAACACTAATTCAACTTAATGGGTTATTTAAACAAACAAACAAACAAACGAACAAACAAACATAGGAGTGGGGTGTGTTAAGATGAAGAAGGAATTCCAGAGGAGATGGGAGGAGATAAGAAGTGGGAATGTGGCTGATCGTAATGTGTATCCACATATATAAGATACACATATATAAGATAAAGATGACTTCAATATAAAGATTTGTTATCTGTGTGATGAGTGAGTGCCTGCACATGTGTCTGTGTGTCAGACCCCTTGGAACTAGAGTTACAAGTGGTTGTGAGCCTCCTGACATTGGGGTTTGGAACAGAACCCAGTAAGAGCAGTAAGTGCTTTTTACCACTGAGCCATCTCTCCAGCCCTTTTATTTTAAATTTTTAAGATTGTATGTCATAGGCGGATTTCTGAGTTCGAGGCCAGCCTGGTCTACAGAGTGAGTTCCAGGACAGCCAGGGCTACACAGAGAAACCCTGTCTCAAAAAAACAAAACAAACAAAAAAAGATTGTATGTCATTATTTTATACATTGTTGGCAGAAATGGTGTTATTACCTATTTAGATTCTGTTGATAACAATATGAAAAATACACGTTTTTGTGTCTCTCTCTTTGTTAAATAAAATGGCTGTGGCAAATGTTAGAGTAGTTCTGTTATCCATATAGGGAGGAAAATCATAGCGATCTGTTGTCTGTAATTCCTTGAACTAAAAGACAAACAAGCAGGGTTGGAGAGGTGGCTCAGTGGTTAAGAGCAATTGCTGTTGATGCAGAGAAGCTAGGTGTAGTTCTCAGCACCACAGAGTGGCGTAGAACTCTCTGTAACTCCAGCTCAGGGGACCCAGTGCTGCCTTCTGGCTTCTTAGGCACCAGACATGTACATAATACACATACATACATGTAGCCAAAACACACAAATACATCTTTACAAAAAATGACAAAGACTTGGGCTGTAAAGAGACACCATGACCATGGCAATGCTTACCAAGGGAAACATTGAATTGGGGCTGGCTTAGACAATTTAGAGGTTTAGTCCATTATCATCATGGCAGGAAAGATGGCAGCTGCAGGCAGACATGGTGCTGGAGAAGGAGCTGAGAGAGAGTTCTACATCCTGATCCACAGGCAACAGTGGGAGACTGAGCCAGGATAGGTGTGGCTTAAGCATATAAAACCTCACAGCCCACCTCCGTGGTGACACACTCCAACACCTAATAGTGCCACTCCCTATAAGCCTACAGGGGCGAATTACAGTCAGACTACCACGGGGTCTTGGGTTGTAGTTCAGTGGTTAGAGCCCTTGCTAAGCATGTATGAGCTCTACATTGCCAGCACCAAACAACATAAAATCAAACTCATATTTAAAAAAAAAATCTCAATTCTTCCACAAGAAGGTTGTTTGTTTGTTTATATTTTGAAGTCACTTGTCTGCCTGGCTGGCCCTGAATTCCTGTTCCTTCTCCCTCACCCATTCATCATGTGCTGAGATTACAATACTGCAAGAAGCATGTATTGAATTGTAGGTATGCAGTAAATGTTTTGAAAGAACTGTACAAAGTGCAGCGTTTTATAAATAGCTGTATTACTTGTCTTTGCTGTGATAAAGTGCCTGACAGAGGCAACCACGGAAGGAAGGCTGTAGTTGGTACACAGATCCAGGGTATGGTCTCTAGTGGTAGGGAAGTCATGATCATAGGTGCTCAAGGCAGCCTGTCCAATTGCATCAGCACTCAAGAAGCAGCAAGCAAGGGATGCGTGTGCTCAGCTTGCTTTCTCCTGTTTGCTCAGTGTGGGACTCCAGGCCATGGAATGGTACCACTCCCATCTGTGGTGGGTCTTCCCTCTTCAGTTAACCTAATGTAGATAAGTCATCACAGGTATGCACAGAGGTTTGCTTCCATGATGGTGCTGGACAGTCAAGATGCGACCTCATAGCAGCCGCAGAGGTGTGAATGAGGACATCCCCATGGCCTCGGTTATTGAGCACTTGATGCCCAGTTGGTGGCACTGCATGGGGAGATGGTGCAGCCTTGCTGGGGGAGCATGTCACTGGGACAGGCTTTGAGAGTTCATAGCCTCATCCTACAGTGTGCTTTCTTCTTCCTGCTGTGACTGAAGGTGTGATTTCTAGTTCCTGCTCCTGCCACCAGCACACCCCTTCCCCACCGTGATGGACTCTTGTTCATTTGGAACCATAATCTCTCTTTCTTAGGCTGATTTTGGTTCTGTTATTTTATCATAACAATAGAAAGTAACAGACATGGTAGCTTTTACAGTATGGGAACTAGAATACTATATTTTATTTGTTTTTTGTTTGTTTGTTTTTTGTTTTTTTGAGACAGGGTTTCTCTGTGTAGCCCTGGCTGTCCTGGAACTCACTCTGTAGACCAGGCTGGCCTCGAACTCAGAAATCCACCTGCCTCTGTCTCCCAAGTTTATAAAATATAAACTTTATATTAAGTTTGAATTTTAACCTACATTTTATTGTTTGTTTTGATTTTTAAGGATCACATTATATGACTTTAGTCCTTGTGTTTTTTGTTTTGTTTTGTTTATTTTTTGGGACAGGTTCTTTTGGCTGTCCTGGAACTCACTCTGTAGAACAGGCTGGCCTTGAACTCATAGAGATACTCTTGCCTTGAGTGCTAGGATCAGAGGTGTGTACAGTAATGCTTTATATTTTTTTGTTAAACAAGGCAGTGGTGTGCACACCTTTAATCTCAGCACTTGGGAGGCTAAGGCAGGCAAGCAGAGGTGGTAGATTTCTGCATTCAAGGCCAGTCTGGGCTATACAGACAAACCCTGTCTCAAAAAAAACCAATTTTTTAAAAAAGTTAAAAGCATCCCAGCACTTGGGAGGCAGAGGCAGGTGGATTTCTGAGTTCGAGGCCAGCCTGGTCTACAGAGTGAGTTCCAGGACAGCCCGGGCTACACAGAGAAACCCTGTCTCGAAAAAAAAAAAAAAAAGGTAAAAGCACTGTCATCAAATCTAAATTGTGACAAGTATTGTCTAAGTGTTATATTGCTGTGATGAAACATTATGACCAAAATAAAGCTCAGAGTCTATTCTGCTCATACTTCCAGGTAACAGTCCATCACTGAGGGAGTCCGGGCAGGAACTTAAACAGTACAAACCCAGAGACAAGACCTGATGCAGAGATGGAGGAGCACTAATGTACTGGCTTTCTCATAGAATCCAGGACCATCAGCCCAGGGATGGTACCACTCACAACAGGCGGGGCCCTCCCACTGAAAACACTAATTAAGAAAATGCCCTTATAGGCCTCCCTACGCTTACATTTTATGGAGGCATTTTCTCAATTGAAGTTCCCTCCTCTCAGATGTTGTGTCAAGCTGACATAAAAATTAGCCAGGACAGATATTCTCTTCTACTTGCAATATCTTGTATACTTGACATTTTTATGTCTGTGTGACTATAAAGTCATTTACTTTTCAAAAACTTTCTCCCTAGATTGGCCACCTGCTTGGCTGTTCCAGAGTGGTGGGAATTTGTGGAACGCACGAGAAATGTCTCTTTTTGACCTCAGAGCTGGGGTTTGATGCTGCAGTTAATTATAAAACAGGGAGTGTGGCAGAGCAGCTTCGAGAAGCATGCCCGGATGGAGTGGACGTTTACTTTGACAACGTTGGAGGCGACATCAGCAACGCGGTGATAAGTCAGGTCATCTGCCGATTTGTCTCTGTACAGATCTCTACCATGTTACATATAATGTAATATGAAGTAATATTTATCTGTTGTGATCACTTTTGCTTGGTACTGAGGGGGAGCTATAAAATTACACGGCTCACTTTGAAAGACGGCATCATCATTATTGTATTTAAGTTATACAAAAGATCTTATTAATACATTTGATTGCACATTTGTATTCTGAATCTCAGTTCCTGCCTAGCAATATAATACTTTTACCTTCAATTTATTTTTGTGAAAAATTAAGAGCTGCATTTTTGAAATGGGAGACCCTGACCTATAACTCAGCATCTATCAATCAGCTTGTAGCCATAACCCTGAGTTGAATAGGGAGGTTGTTTTTATAGGTGTTATGTATCTTTTATTGACAATGTAGTAAAATATCAACAGTTGGTAATAAGAATTTTCTATATGTAAAATTACTTGTAGCTGAGATTAAATTATTTATCTAAAGAAATGTATTACTGGGGCGGAGGAATGGCTCAGTAGTTGAAGTGTGTACTGCTCTTGCAGAAGACCTGAGTTTGAATCCCAGCACCTATGTCAGTCAGCTCAAACACCTGCAACTCAAGCTCCAGGCAGAACGAACACTTCAGGCCTCCTCAGGCACCTGCCCTTATATGCATGTGTCTGTTGTTGGGTATCCATCCACCAGAGAAGACGACTGGGACATGAGTTTAAGCAATAGAAAGTCTTTATTAGCTGGCTACCAACTACATTACATGTTCAGGATCCTAGTGTAGCCCCGAGCCTTTCTCAGGGTGAGCTTTTAAGCACAAAAACCATATCCTAAATTGATACAGTTCAGTTAACAAGAACAGTTAGTCAGAAGGAGAGCTAAAAGAAAGGTTAGTACATTTAGAGACTTTCTCAGAACTGTCGACTTTGATGGATTAGGTCATTGGTTTCATTTTGTCAGGTGGTGCTGTCTGTGCTGAGTTTTACAGCCTGAATGGTACTTCCATCATGGAGTCCGTTGTGCTGAGGTCTGGGGCCCTGTTACAGTTCCTACACTCAGACCTACACATATACACATAATTAAAAATAATAAAGCTTTTAAAAAAGAAATATTTGATTGCTAATAAAAGCATCAAGGTCAGTGTTAGTGACAACTAATATAATTCTTTTGATGATTACCAAACTTTGATTAGTTCTACATTCCTTCAGAGTGGATTTATTAAAACTTGTAGGGACTAGAGAGATAGCTCAACAGTTAAGAGTACTTGCTGCTCTTGCAGGGGACCTGGTTTGGTTCCTGACATGCACATCAAGCAGCTTAAAGCCACATATAGCTCCAGTTCTAGGGGGTCTGAGGCCCCTGTCTGACCTCCACAGGCACCTGCATGCGTATGGTGAACATAAAATTCATGCAGGTACACAGTACACACAAATAAACTAAAAATTTAAAATACCTTTAAATAGGTAAATCTTCAAAATAAATGAAATTAATTGGCAATAAAGGTTTAAGTATGGTGGTTAAATAGGCTTTCATTGATTAGTCATAAATCTATCAACTGGAAAGGTGTCCCAGGGTGACTCATCAGTGTCTCTCTATACAGATGAATCAGAACAGCCACATCGTTCTGTGTGGTCAAATCTCTCAGTACAATAAAGATGTGCCCTACCCTCCTCCACTGCCCCCCGCTGTGGAAGCAATCCAGAAGGAAAGAAACATCACAAGGTGTGTCCTTCACCTTTGCCCTTGCTGCCACTTTCATGGGGGCTGGGCCGGGCGCTAAATTATATAGATGTAAAATGTATTCAGTTACAGTTTTTTCCTAATAAATACAACCGAGAAGTATGTATTTAAGGTAGCTCAATATTTAAATTTTGGTTCATTAATTCTCAGACAACTGATACTTCTGGTTTTGACTGTATGAAATCCTTTAAGGGTGAGGAAAGAATATTACCCACAAAGGAAAAATCACAATGCTGTTACCAAATAGCTGTAGAGATAAGCAGAGATAAACAGTCACAGTTTAGTGTACTTACTCTAACTACACCTCTACAACTCAGGCAAAGTTTAGTGTACTTCCACCTTAACTACACCTACAACTGTATCTGACCCAACGTAGCATGGTTATATCCTAACGAAAAGACTAACAACGATATCGCCATTTAAATATTTGACTTTGGGTTCTCACTCTTGAAATGTTCTCTAATCATTATTCTTTTATTTTCTATTTACAGAGAGAGATTTATGGTACTGAATTATCAAGATAAATTTGAGCCTGGAATTCTACAGCTGAGTCAGTGGTTTAAAGAAGGAAAGCTAAAGGTAAAACTTTTTGAACCAGGTCTCATGTAGCCCAGGCTGGCCTTGAACCTGGCACATAGCTGAAATGACCTTTGGCCCTTAGCCTCCTACGTCTCCCTCACTACTGTGAGGATTGTAGGCATGCTCTACCCAGGACTAACCAAGTACTCTACCAACTGAGCCACATCCCCCGCCTAAGCTTCTATTAACTATAAAAGTAGATAGTTTTCTGCCATTTGGCATACTTTGGTTTTATTATGAAGAATTCCTACAAAATGGGCTAGAGAAATGGCTCAGTGGTTTAGAGCACAGGTTACTCTTACAGAGGACTCAACTTTTCCTTGTTTTCCAGCAGGTATGTCAGGCTGCTCACAATGACTGTGACTGCAGCTCCAGGGGCTCTGTGACCCTCACTCTGTGACCCTCTCTGTAACCCCTAAGCAGCTGCACTCACGTGCACATATTCACAGAGACATACACACACAGACATATAGTTCAGAAAGTTAACCTCTGAATAAAATCTCCTCCCAGATGACTCTAATCTCCTGACTGTGAAACCCTTTTATTACCTATATGCGGTTTCTCATTGAGCTTAGGACTGCAGATGCTGCCCTGTGGTTAAAAGCACTCGCTGCTTTTGCAGAGGACCTGGATTTGGTTCCCAACACCTGTGTGGTACCAGCTGTCTCTAACTCCAGTTCCAGGGAAGCCAGTAACGTCTCCTGGCCTTGCAGGGACAAATTGGTGCACAGATGTACATACATAAATAGCAGGCAAACACTCATAAAATAAAAATAAAATCTTTTAAACATTTTTTTTTGTTTTGTTTTGAGAAAGGATTTCTCAGTGTAACCAGCCCTGGCTGTCCTAGTCCCACTTTGTAGACCAGGCTGGCCTCAAATTAGTCCTGCCTCTACTAGGATTAAAGGCTCGTACCACCACACTCAAGTCTTTTAAACAATTAAGCTTTATTTTCTATGGATTATTTACAAAATCAATAGGAATTTCTCCTGAAATCTAAATTTGTAGTGTTCATCAATTTAACAAATATTTATGAATTGTACTTAGAAATTCTGTTTTGTTTGTTCATTTGTTTGTTTGTTTGGTTTTTTTTGGTTTTTCGAGACAGAGTTTCTCTGTATAGTCCTGGCTGTCCTGGAAGTCACTCTGTAGACCAGGCTGGCCTTGAACTCAGAAATCCCCCTGCCTCTGCCTCCCAAGTGCTGGGATTAAAGGCGTGTGCCACCACTGCCCAGCGAAATTCTGACTTTTTTTAAATTTAATTTTATGTGTATAGGTGTTTGTCTATAGGAATGGAGGCTAGAAGTAGGTGTCAGATCCCTAGGAACTGGAGTTACACACAATTGGGAGATGTCATCTGGGTGCTGGGAATTGAACCTGGATCCTCTGGAAGAGCAGCCAGTGTTCTTAACCACTGAGCCGTCTGTCCAGACCCAGAAATTGTACTTTCTTAAAAGTCATATTAGCACATATCAGAACCCTCTTTGGATATTCTTTTCTTTAATGGAAATGTGTTAAATTTTATATAACTAGAATGAATCATTACTGCATTTTAGAAATAACAAAAGAGCGGTAAGCTCACTAATGTGGTGTTACTCTGGTTTCATATAACCTATTTCCTTATATTTTCTATTGAGTTCAGTAAATATCTTTTTAATATTATTTCTTTGTGTTTATTCTGATGCCTCTTTTAGTTGTTGGGCAATATTTGAAATTATTAGTCTGGGATCCTGATAAGATGTTCTTGAAACCTGAAAATGATTGTATATGTGTATACTTAATTTTTTCCAAGAGGGTCTGTATGGACGGGGGCCAGTGGGGAGAGGGGTGGTGATGGTGGTGGTGGCGGCGTGTAATTTAGTAGAGTATGTGCTTAGCATGCATGAAGCAGAAAGTAAAATTTAAAACTGGTACAGGCACAGGCCTGTCATGCCAGCACTTGGGAGGTGAGGGCAGGAGAGGAGCGTACACTCAGTCGTTGTCTGCTACACAACCTGGGTTTGTTTAACAGTTTGTTTAACGTGGACTGGGCTGTGGGTGGAGCCAGAGGTTAGAGCTCTGAGACTGCTCACAGTATGGACAGTCACTGCCAAGTGGAAGAACCGAGTCTGGTCCCCAGAACCGTGCAGTAGAAAGAACTAAGCGGGGCATGTAGCTCACGCCTTTAAACCCAGCACTGGGGAGGCAGACTTAGCCTTGAAGAGAAAGAAAAAGAATCTGGAAGTTGCCCTCTAACCTCCATGTACATGCTAGAAATGACATGTGTACACTCACCCACAAAACAAATAAATGTAAAAAAAAACAAAAATAATGTTTCTTAGAAAGTTTAGACAATGGGAATATAGGATTTTACGGCTCTAAACTGTATTGCTTCCTTTTATGGAAACCATTAACCCTAAATCTCGCTATTGTGATTTACAGATCAAGGAGACTGTAGCAAATGGCCTGGAAAACATGGGAGGTAAGATGAAAGCAGACGGACTTCACACATGTTCAACACACGGAGTGGTTTTTCTCTTAACACTATCTTTCAGGTGTTCTTTTGTTCTAGAGAACGAGCCTATGGCCTCATTCACATTAAGCAAACATTTCCCCACTGTGCTAACCCCAAGCCACTATTCACCTCCCTTTTAGAAGCACAGAGCGTCAATGTTAACTGGAAGACTATGCTTTTGCACTATGTGGTGAGGGAGAATTGAACCTGGGGCCTAATGGATGCCAGGCAAGGCCTCTAAGACCAAGCTGTGTCTTCTTTCCTTTCCTTTCTCTTTCTCTCTCTCTCTTTGAGGGAAGAGGGGAGGTGGAACAGAGCCTTTCTGAGACTAGATCATGTGTAGCCCTGGTTGGCTTTAAACTTGATTGGCAGCTGAGGCTGGCTGACCTTAAATTCCTGATCCATCTGCTTTCACCTCGAAAGTGCTGGAATTACAGGCATTTGCCACTACATCCATCTTCTTTTCTTTTCCCCTTCCTTCCTTCCTTCCTTCCTTCCTTCCTCCCTTCCTTCCTTCCTTCCTTCCTTCCTTTCTTTCGTTTTTCAAGACAGGGTTTCTCTGTGTAGCCCTGGCTATCCTGGAACTCACTCTGTAGACCAGGCTGGCCTTGAACTCAGAAATCCCCCTGCCTCTGCCTCCCAAGTGCTGGGATTAAAGGCGTGCGCCACCACCGCCCGGCCCATCTTATTTTCTTGTTAGTAACTTATTGCTAGGGCTGAGGATGTAAGCTAGTTGGTGGAGTGCTTGTCTGCCATGAACAAAGCACAAACGGATCATCTATAATAGCAACCACTGTAACCCCAGAACTCAGTGGTGCAGGCAACATAGCCAAGCAAGGTCATTCTCAGCTATGTGAGACTGTCTCAAAAATAAAACAAATAACACGGAATTCTCTCTTCCCTGTGAACAGTTCTAGATATGTAGGTTTTCTAAGCGATAGCAATCCAACACCATTAGAGTTGACTTTACTGGCATTTCATATGTGTATGAGTTACTTTTTCATCACTGTGACAAAGTACCCTGTTGTGGATAGGAAATAAAATGTTGGGGAATTATTTTGCTCATGGTTTTAGAGGGTTCAGTTCATGGTCACGTGGCCCCAAGCACTTGGGTAGCAGATCATCATGGGAGTATGTGAGGGCACTTCTTACATCATGGTGGACAGGAAACTGAGAAGACAGACAGGAAGGGCTCAACTCTAGTGACCTACTTTCTCCAGCTAAGTCCCACTTCCTAAAGTTCCCAGAACCTCCTAAAGAATACCGCTGACTGAAGGTCAAGCACTAAAACAAGCAAGCTTGACATTCTACATACAACTCATATCAAGAGGCAGTTTTCATATTTCAGTTATAATGTCATATATATGTATTTCTTTGGCTTCTCAGACAGCTTATAAGAATATAAGGATTATGAAAGTTTTATAGGGTTAGGTAACTTTTCAGATTAAATTTCTCAGACACAAGATTAATAAGATTTCTAAGTTCCACTTTCGTTTTCTTTTTTGCCTAACATAGACATTCTCTTGTTCATTTTAAATGAAAAGGCTTAAATCAAACTGATCTTTTTTTCCTTTTTCAAAAAAAAAATTAATATATTTCCAAACTGGTAGTTTGTATTTCAACATAAATTTTACTCACTTGGCTTAACAAGTATATACTGTACTTACTCAATAAAACTTGTTAAGTTTCTAAAATTTTGAATTATTTAAAATTTTTGTTTTGCTGACATTTGGCCCCATATTTATTTGCCTTTACTCCTCGGATTCTGTACCGTTATATAGATACCAGTTAGACATTTCTACTTTAAATAGCAGTGGGTCTTGTTACTTTTCAGTCTTTTTGAGGCCAGGTTTCTTGCAGTCAAGGCTAGGATGACCGTCCTGAACTCTTCCTGCCCCAGGAGCGACAGGTAGAAGTCACAATCCGTTTATGCAGGCTGGGTTTACTCAGAGTGGCTTGCATGCTAGGCCGGCCAGGCCAGCGGCACTTCACCAGTTGAGCAGTGTCCTCAGCCCCGCAGCAGCTTTTCAGGATGTTGATTGGATTCCCTGTGTCTTACTTGTTGTATCTTTGTCTATGTTTGTTCAAACAAGATCTCCTTTCCCTCTCTGGTTCCTTTCCTCACATTTCAAAATGTATTAACTCTTTCTTCAGGGCAGTCTGGGGCAGGTCTCCAACATCCAAGCTCGCTGTTCAGATGGAACTTTCCCTAGATTTCTAAGATACAGACTATATTTGAGGGAATCAGTGTGCTCTCTCTCCTGCCCAAATCTTCTTGGTTGTTTTGGAGTCTTGTTCTATAGTCCAGACTGGCCTGAAACTCATGATCCTCTAGCCTTAACTCCAGAGTGCTGGGATTACTAAATGCATACACCACGAGAGTTTTCTTTTGTATGTAATAGTAAACCAAACAACAAAAAATACAGAGAAGCTGGGTGATGGTAGCAAGGGAGGCAGAAGCAGGTGCATCTATATGAGTTCAAGGCCAGCCTGGTCTACACCACATGTATGCATGGTGCTCACTGAGTTCAGAAGAGAGTGTTGGATCCCCTAGAGCTGCGCCAGGAATAGCAGTGGTTGTGAGCTACCATGTGGGTGCTGAGAACTGAACCCATGTCTTCTGTTTATTCATGAACTCTCAAATACTCAGCCATCTCTCCAGCTCCACATAAAATACCCCCACATCCCCCAACATGCTTTCACTGGCACTCACTCTGTAGACCAGGCTGGTGTCAAACTCACAGAGTGCTAGGATTAAAGGCATGTACCACCACCAACCAGCCACACAACAACAAAACAAAAAAGCAAAAAAAGATACAAAAGAAAACCCCAAAAAAATTAAAAGAAAAATCACAGAATTTATTCAAACTAATTTTATATGCTAGACCTCCTAACAGACATATAGTAGCCTTTCTCCTTTCAGACAACCATTTTTTTCTTTCAGTTGCATTCCAGTCCATGATGACAGGAGGCAACGTAGGGAAGCAGATCGTCCGCATTTCAGAAGAGCCTCCTCTGTAGTCTGGGGTATCTTCATCAAGGAAACCCTCCACTTTTCACTTCCCACAAAGATTCTTAAGATACATTTAAAAAATAATCTTTCAATACAGATAGTTCTTGATTCCAGTGTGATATTTTCTTTGTTGTATAACCAATCTATCTTCAATATCATATTAATTATACACTTAACATGTGAGTACGTGCCATAACACAGGGGTTCTCAACCTGTGGGTCATGACCCCTCTGGAGGGTCACATATCAGACGTCCTGCATAACAGGTACTTACATTATTATTCATAACACCAGATTACAGTTATAAGGTAGCAACCAAATAATTTTATGATTGGGGTCACCACAACATGAGAAACTGTATTAAAGGGTTGGTGAATTAGAAGGTTGAGAACTAATGCCACCGTAGATTGAAGTTAGTATTATTTGTATTTGTTTTTTTTTTTTAACTTTATTTTATTTTTGAGGCAAGATCTCTATATGAAGTCCACACTGGCCTCAAACTTGTGAACCTGTGGCTCCATCTCCTAAGTCCTGGGATTGCAGGCATGTACCACTATGCCTGATTATTTTTCTTTTCTTTTTTTTTTTTTTGTTTTTCGAGACAGGGTTTCTCTGTGTAGTCCTGGCTGTCCTGGAACTCACTCTGTAGACCAGGCTAGCCTCGAACTCAGAAATCCACCTGCCTCTGCCTCCCAAGTGCTGGGATTAAAGGCGTGCACCACCACTGCTTGGCTGATTATTTTTCTTATAATAATAACTAATAATATTGTTTTGAAGATGGGTCTATTAGTTTAGCTCAGGTTGGACTGACTCCTCAGGTCTCCCACTGCTGAGACTGCTGGGATGCCAGGAGGGTGTCATACACTAATACATGGCTAATTTTGTTTCTAAAAACTAATATTACATATATTTGTATCAAATATTACAAAAAACCAACCCTGGGTAGTTCTTAAACCCCAGGTTTTTAACCCCAATTGTTAATGGATCATATACATCTTTAAATTACTTTTAGAACTGAGTAAACGTTCTACTAATTCTAAGGTGAGAAGCAGTTCACATTTGTTGAACTTTTTACCATTCTTAAACTGAGAGTATTCTTAAACTGAGAATTGAGATAGTCTTTCCATATTTTTAATGAGAGACTTTAAAAGTCTTTATTTTATGTACCCGAATGTCTGTCTGTACACCACATGTATGCCTGGTACCTGCAGTGGAGAGTGGCTGCAGAGGGCATTGGGGCACTGGATCCCCTGGAACTGGAGAGAGTTCTGAGCCACCATGTGGGTGCTGGGTTCTAGAATGCAGGGCCTCTGGTAGAGCAGGAGATGCTCTTAAGTGCTGAGCCATCTCTTCAGCCCGCCTGTACTGAATGGCCTAAGTGCATAGGGTTGCGGGCAGCACTGGAAGTATTTACAGATTGTGGAACAGTTTAGGGTAGGAGAGCAGAAGTTTTGGGTTGGGAGTGGTATGAGAAGACAGATGAGTTGGTGGGAAGCTCCAGAGACCAGGTTTACATCCAGGAGATAATCTATTTGCATTCTGCCAAACAACTGACTGTAGCAAGCCTAACAACTTACTACACGCTGATAAAGGCTTGTGTTTATTTTAGGATTTTTTTTTTTTTTTTTTAAAGACAGTCTCTGTTAGGTAGCTTGCTGTGTAATCCAGGCTGGCCTGGAACTCAAAGCTATCCATTGGCCTGTCTGCCCCTGGAGTGCCAGTGTTAAAGGCCTGTACACCATGCTGCGCTTGTGCTTTGGAGAGCTAACAGAAACATCACTAAGAATTTCACTGATTACAGTGAGTTGAGGGAGTGGTCAGGGCAGAACACTGATCAGTACTCCAGGGGCTTTGAGTTAACTCCCAATTGTACCTTCCCCCAACAAGCCCCAAGTAAACAAGCTTCAGAGATGATAGGACTAAGTAAATTAACCAACGGTTATAGACATGACTGTTCCAGATAGACTATTGTATCACATTTGTCTTATTAATTGTAACTCAACCTCTAGAAAAATAAAACTGGAGATGTTTTCTGAGTATGAGTTTTCTGACTTATGGCCACTTTTTTTGTTTTTTTTTTTTTAACAGCCAATGTATTTTAGAAGCAAAACAAGTTGTATTAGTAATCACTCAATCAAGTTTTGCAGCGTTCTAACCTTGTTTTACATATTTTCTCGGGACCCTAGTTTTCTTTCTGGACGTTTCTTCATCTCTTCATATATTGGTAACTGACAAATCTACTTTGTTCTTTTAATTCTTACTTAAATTTTAGGATTTTAGCTCCCAGTAAACATTTCCTTGCCACCCCAAGGTTTTTTTTCCAGATACTATATAGCCCAGTTGTCCTTGTCATGGCAATCTTCAAATGGGATTACAGTCATGCTTCTCAGTGCCCAGCACAAACTGTATCGAGGAAATGTTTTCTCCAGGAACGTTTTGTACAGAAAGTACTACTCCCTAGCTCATCCAGACTCCTGGCTTATCTCTAAAGTTGAAAATAAGCGCCTTCAGAGAACAGTAATTCCCACAGCGCCATCTTCAGTCCTCTATTCTACCTCACCACCTCATTTTTTGTGTGTTTGTTTTGTTTTTTTGGACAAGGTCTCACTATGTAGCCCTAGTTCACTGGGAACTCCTGGAGTGCTGGGGTTGCCACCACGCCAGATCTTAAATTTTCTGCAGTCAAACTCGAAAGTTTCAACAAGAACTATTATCTAGTTTGGAACTTAGATGAGCCCTCAGTCAGGGCATCCAAGATCTCTGGAGAATTCTTAAATGTTTCTAAAGCTGTACATGTGCCTAAATTCTTACCCAGTCCAAGTCCCTCTGTGGGCCATGAACATTTCAGGCGCTCTTCATGGAGTTTTGGTGTTTCGGGAGCACAGTTTCTCGTTAGCTGTCATAAGTCCTCAGCTCCGGAGAGAGCTACTCTCCACCCCTCCGGAGCCCCGCCATCCCACCCTTCCCGGCCGCCGCCCCCACACTCCTGCGCCTCAGCGGGAAGGCAGTGACGTCACGGCTAGACTGCACTGACCTGGTTTCAGATTTCGCGGACCTGCGAGCCCTGAAGGGCCGAGAGGAGGGGGCGGGGCGCTGCGGTTCCCCAGTCGGGAACCCTGTGTGTGTCGGGCTGTGCATCTCTAGTGGGGAGCTGAGGATCGGTCTCAGCAGCTGCCCAAGAGTCGGCACCTCGACCTGAGTACCACCGGCGGGGCGGAGAAGAAAGCGAGTGGGTATGCTGGTGGGGGGCGGCCAAACTTCCTGTCCCGCTCTGGAGCTGCTTCCGGCGCGAGCCGGAAGACGCCGTGTGTGGACGGAATTCGGGACTGACTGACGGACGGCCAGCTGCCCTAGACTGGAAGGTGAGCTCCGGGCTAGTGCTAGCCACACCCGCTCGGCTAGGTGGTCCCGCAGAGGAAGGAAGCCACTGCGGGGGTCTGGGGATCTGGAGCCGAGTTCGCCCCCGAAGGGCACGAGGAAGCCGCCCGCCCCCCTAGACTCCCCCAGGCGTCTAGCGGGCGGGGAGCGACCGGTCCGAAGCCCGGCGGCTTCGGCCCTAACCCCTTTCAGGATCTGGGGCGCGCTGTGTCTTCTCCTTTGCTTGGTTTTGCGGGAGGGTGCTTGGAAACCACACTGCCCCCAGAAAGCCGGAGTTAGCGAGTCCCCGGGGCGGAGGCTCCGGACTGCACCCGCAGCTGGGCCTGCCCGGAGACCTAAGGGCCTTCGGCTGAGGCCTTTGTGCTGGCGGAAAGGGTTGGCAGCGGTGCCCTGCCGGCGTTTCACCCAGGGCTGCCAGCTCCGTTCCTGGGTCCACGCTCCTCCTTGCTCTGGAATAGAGACGTCTGCGGACCAAGGCTGGACCTCTGGTGTCTCCTCTGCCTGTCACTTCAGGCCCGTGTGTGGGCAGCGAATGTTTGCAGCCAGGATGTGTTTTGCTCACTCAACTTGCTCTCTGAAGTTTCTCAAGAGAAGACGATCCAATTAGTTTATTAAACTTTATCTCACTTGCTCATGAGGCTCTGAAATGTACTTAGTAACCATTTGGGAGTTAAATATTATTGACTTGGGATTAAGAGTTCATACATTTGCATTAGACTTTGACACAAAGGCCAGTGAAACATATGCAAAGACAATAAAACATAGTTTGTAGTAAAGACAGGCAATTCAGGGTATTTGGCATTGAGGGATTTGTGTTATAGTCCTCTGTGGCAGAATACAGGGCAGCCAAGCATCAGAAAATATGGATTCTAATTTAAGCTTTGTATCCCAGTAGGTGTCAAATGTAGGTAAAACCCACAATTTTCAAGAGTCTTTTCCTCCTTTTGGGGGGGGGGAGTATGTCAGTGAAGAGGTTGACCCTTAGGGGCTGGCCATTATTCTGAGCTACTAAACTGCATATGGGGAGTGACAAGCATTTTTGTGTTTTGGAAAAATAATGCGTGTTTGTGTAAAATATAGACTGGAAAGGGTAATTTTAATAGGCAAGATGAAGAGGTAGAAGCTTGTGCTAACTGTGTAGCTGACAAAAAAGAGAAGTGTAGTTGAAAGATACTGAGGAATCTAAACAGCATCACCGAAGAAGTGACCATTATTAATGGCTGAGATTATTTAAGCATGTCGGATGAGAGGCACTGAATTTGCAGCTGAGTGGGAAGATTGGGTAATAAGTAAAAGAGATAATTCGAGAAGAACAGGTTTGGTAGTGGAGACGACAGTCTATGTTTAGACATGGTTTGGTTTGAAATGCTGATGATACACATGCAGAATTACTCCTCAAGCAGTTAATAATGACGAATGTTTGGGATTGAAAAGTCGGAAGTAAGGGGGTGGGGAATTGGGTATCGTCTGTCCTGTTACTTATTCTCTATCCGGATATCTATCCAGTGCTTTCTCTGTGCTCACCGGGAAACTCGTATGGAAGTCATGGAAACTCACAATAATGACTACGTTAGAAGTGGGCAGTGACTTCAGGGTTTCTTTTGGGAAAATGTAAAATTAGCCAAGCATGGTGACACACACCTTTAATCTCAGTGCTGTGAGGTGTAAGCAGTACACTCTCAGGAGTGAGTGGGAGTTCAATGCCAGCCTCAGATATATATAGAGTTCCAGGCCAG